TCCATTAAGAAAACAAACAAAAAAATTGAGTTCGATAAAATAAACCAAATGCCAGTCACTTTTTTTCAAGTTCTTACCTTTTCCATAAAGATATTCTTGATCGTGTTATGGCAGGCTTTTCTAATACCTATTCCCCTTTCATCTTTTCTCCCAGCCACGCCATGTCTGGTCTGGGGCTTCTCCTCTTGAGCAGAATCTCCATGACTAAAAGTAAATTGGCATTTAGAGAGGAGTGATTTATAAAAAAACTTTTTACTTTGTTAAATCCAATCGAATAGGTTCAGATATTTATGAAAAACTGCAAAACACGTTATTGTTGGTATCTGAAAATAGTAGTTCAATACTAGATACCTGAAATTGCTTACTAATAAATGAATAATATTAATAACAATTACTGTCCTATGAGTATGTTCGTTTACAGGGTGCTTTCACATATGTTACTTTAGGTGAAACAACCCTATGAGGTAGGGATTTTTATCCACATTTATAGAAAAGCTGAGGCTTAAAGATCCAGATACATATCCAAGGTCACAGAAGTAGTAGATTGCAAATCTCTAAATTTCGGGCTCCTAGGTTCAGAATGAAAGGCTATATCTTTCCATTGGAGAACATAATAAATGTCATAGTAATGAGCATTCACATTGCTGTACTAGCAGCCTCATTGCAGATCTTTACTACTCATTTTTCTGTCTTCAGCTACTTGTTTTATAACTTATTGCCCTTCATGTATGGGCAATATTAATTATAAATCAAAGAGATGGTAAATGTTTCAGTAGTAACGAATTTGGAAATACTTATTTAATCTGAGTGATAAGTATAGCTTATTTTTATAGCATCTTCTATTAAGCAAAGCAACAGTNATCATGATGCAATGTGTTTTAAGAAGATAAAGGCATAATTAATGTGAAAATTAGAATTGATGGCTGAGGGCTGTGGAAACTAGTCTACTTCTTTCTCTGTTTGTAGCTTTTCTGGTTGGCCTGTTGATCTATTGCTTGTTTTTTTGACAGTTTACCTGATTTCTCTTTTTAATGCCAATTCTTACAAACCTATTTTAGCAGTAAAATAAAGGAAAAATTATGAAATAGATACTCCAATACTGTCCAAAACCAGTATGTTCTGTAATCAGTAGTTTTAAAACTTTGGAACAAGAACATGGTCAAAACATTTTTAAGTGGTTGTCTGCTTATATATTTGCTATAAAATGACTATGTTTACACCTCTCCAGGTTGGCAAATAAACAAGACAAGGAAGGGGCTTTAGGAGAAGCTGATGTGATTGAATGTCTGTCTCTGGAAAAATTGGTCAATGAGCACAAGTGCCTGTGTCAAATAGTAAGTTTTTGTTTTGTTTTGCCCTATGTTGAGTATAACTTAATTTTTGTTAGTTAGGTGGTAGGCAGCTAACACAATAATTCATTGGTGTTTTAAAAGAATTTTTTTACCCAGTGTTCTGATTGGTATTAATACTGTAATATTTGTTTTCTGTTTAGTTGCTACTGACTTCCATAAACTATCTTTTGTGATTTCAAAGACTTTAGATTTGTTTTTTGTTTAAGATATTGCTGACAGGACCTAGAAGCTATACAAACACGTCATGCTATAAATTTTGTAAACAGTAAAGAAAACATAAATACAAAATTTAAACATAGGAGAGGTTTACAATTTTGAAAAAAACCACATCAGGGGAGTTATTATATAACCTTAAGAAAGATAGACAGATGTTTTAATAATTTATTCTGGTTTCAGAAAACGGTCATTAACACTGTCAATCTTAAAAGATGTTTATTGCTATAAATTACTTGGTATGAGGAATTAATACTTTCTGCTGTTTTTTTTTTAAGTAGGGATATTTTTGTTCTGGCAACTTAATTTTGTCTTCCAATGAGTTTGTTTAAACTTATAACTGGCATATATAAACTTATAACAGTTGACTTCTTGTGTCATAATATCTCTCATAGCTTATAGATATTATACATAAAATATTCCATCTCCTATGTACTAATGTTAGGGATCATTGCAAAGGTGTGTTTTGTAAGTTGAATAAACAGGTGCTTCATATAATTCATTTAGTGGGTTCATTTTGATTTACCGGTAATTGTACTTATGGTTTATTAATAGATATTTTGTGGAAAACTTTTAATCTTTAAGTCAAATTAATTGCTGTTTTTCAGGAACCCTGTTCAGCAATCTTGGGATCTGGAAAGAAAATAGACAAATCCATCAAAAAAGGCCTTTACTGGCTGCTACATATCATTGCAAGAGACTTTGATGCCTTAAATGAACGCATCCAAAAAGACACAACAGAACAGCGTGCTCTTGAGGAACAAGAGAAACGAGAAAGAGCTGAACGAGTGCGAAAATTACGGGAAGAAAGGTAAGTAGATTCATCATTTTGTACCACAGTGCATTTGAAAAGTCAAAAACACCGCAACTTTATGAATAATTTTTAGCTTTATCTGTTCAGTTTCCTCTTTCTGTGTGAAGGAAGACAGCTATTTTTGTGCATCTTTTGCTATACCAGTTTGGGCGATAAAGTTCTAATTTTCTTGGCGGTGTTATGGTAGTTAAATTTATTCCTTAGGCATTTATTATGAGAGTTTGAAAAATTTATCTCCTATTTCTTAAGGGTACCTATCTCAACAAAGGTAGAAGGTAAGCTGTTGGTGGATCAATCAGCTAAAGCAAAATCTGATCTTCAACACTAGTTTTGTCAGAAAACAGACTAAATTGTGCCATCTCAGGTTTTAAAAATATGTTTTTCAAACAATTTAAAAAATATATTTCTGGAAAGGAAACCTTTAAACTAAATTTAGCAAGCTCTGAATTAAAAAAAAAAAGAATGATTATATAAATTCTACCACAGAAGCACTTATAACAATAATTTTAACGCTGCAAGTAAGTACTCGGATTTGATTAGAAGTTGAATTTAGTGCTTACTCCCAAGATTTCTCTTTCTTTTCTCCACTGGATTGTTACATGGTATGGGAAGGGAGAAATGAAAAGATGTTTAAGTGAGCTCCTATAAGATCCAAAGTTATCTTCCACCTATCTAAGTAATATTTGCCTTCCATATGCTTTAACAGAGTTGCAGCCGGTAGGCATGAACCTGCTAAACTACCCTTGGTGATGCCTTTGTGAGGTGTTCCCTTACACTGTCCAGGAAGTCCTCTGATCACTAGTATCTTTCATTTAATTCAGAGAAAGGAGTTAAAGGAGAAAAGTATTTGTAAAGATAACACTCCATCCTCAAGTGGTCTCAATAACATGAGGAGGTCATTCATCTAGGCCTCTCTTGATATGGATATGAAGTTCTAGTTCCTGGGCGAATCTTTGGGTTTCTATCCTACTGTATATTTTCATGACCTAAAGCTCAGTACAACCAATCACTC